GAGTTGCTTATTCCAGAAGCTGCTCACAGTCTCATTGTCACCTGCTCTTGCTTTTCCCCTACCTATCCTCTCACTGCCATCCTTCTCTCCTGTTCTTTTGCACAGACAGCCTTTACCTGGAAATGTGACACTTTTCCAGAATTTACCTGTCCATCCCTATGGAGGGGATCTTGAAAGCTACAGAAGCCTTGAAAGTAGCTAAACAGCTTCTGTGTCAGCACTGCCACTAAAACCCTCTTAGAGTTTTAAAATTTAAATTTAAGTTTTAAAATTTAAAAAATGTGTAGCCTCGTGCCCACAGTTTTGCTAAGCAGAGCAACATTTGACCAAAATGAGCACCAGTCCTCACCTAAACTTGTGCTACTTCAGTTTCAAGCATTCAGAACATCTGTTTCATTTCTCACAGCATAATTCCATTTGGAATTCTGGCTCTGGCCGGTTCTGAATGAGTTTTTCGAGTCTTCCTGGAAACACCAGTGTTTAAAAAAGCTCAGTCTAAACCTTCATATCAAGTTCCTAAAAGTCCTTCCAAGACTGTTTTCATAGAAGGCAGCAAAATTTGTGATTCTTGCAATGGGCAGTGGGGAACTTAAATAACTAACTAAATAATTTAAGTAATCCCAGAAACTTTACACAACTTCCCGAAGATACTGAGAGGAGGAAAAAAATAAAAAGCAAAACAAGGGCAAGATGACAGAAAGGAGACACTGCAGTCACACTCCAAGGAATACTTAAGCTCTAATTAAAAGTAATGTTAAAAATGCATTAGTCATTAGCAAACAAGGTCACAGGCCCTGCTGCCCAAAGCATGTTCAGTAAAAATCAGCAACAGGGACCTCTGCAAAGCCCTTGATGTGGCCACTGCTGACGACTCTTATTTCTGTGTTACAGGCATTTTATCTGAGTCCAGTCCCTCCACCGAGGTGGGATCCTCAGAGGGGTTCAACAAATGCCTTTTGCACTGATTTAAAACAGTGTTTTTCACCAAATCTTTATTCCCTCAAAGCCCTTTGCATTGAACCCCTGAAAGGGAAGGTTCAAACCCCTCAGTTCTGTGGGTCACTGGCACCTTTTGCTGGATGAGCCCTGAGTTTCAAGCAGTATAAACCAAAAGAAGTAGGTTAAGAGATGAAGCAAAAGATGAGCCAAGATAAATGTGATACACAACAAGCTCTGCAAGCAGGAGGAAGCCCATCCAAACATGATAAATGGCTGAGTGTATCTTCACAGACCAATTTAGGCATTTTTTGGTCATGATGTTTTTTGTTCTGTGAGTTTTTTTCATGCTCCCACGGAGTAAAACTTCCCATGAAAGTTTTCACACCTGTTTTTGGAGGGACAGAGATCTTACAGCAACTTTTCTATTTCCAAAATAAATAATCCAGTATTCTTAATATCCCTACTCCTCTCAATGGGAAGCCTTTACTGTGACTCATTGGCCACCATGTGCCATTCAGGTATAACAAATATGTATATAACCAAACATCCTTCTACAGAAAATCTTTATAAATGTTATACTTAAACATTGGGACCCATAATGAGCACTTTTGCCTTCTCTAGGAAAAAGAACTATTCTATTTTCTCCACTGATCACCATCCCACTGACCTTCACAGTTCCTTTATCTACTTTGCACTATGCTCACTAATTTGCTTTTAATCAATCACTGATAAGATCAGAGGGGAAAACTAGTTTGATTTTGGAGCTCAATGAAAATGCTGGTTTAATATCTCTTTGCAGGTAAAAGAATATGTTTGCTGTTTTAAAGTGCTAAGTTTATTAACAAAACTTTTAGTGCAGTTCCTTTCATAAATCTGCCTGCAAATCTGCCATGGGAGAGTGGAGCGTTCACCTAATGCCAGTTAAGCCTTTATTTAAAAATCAGATCAGATGAATAAATGCTGGGATCTGTAAAATGATTCAAATCCCAGCTGTTTGTGTGAAGTGATGGGTGAGATGAGCAGCTGGGCAGAGCCTTACCAGCCTTCCCAACCTTCCCAGCTTTTCCAGCCCTCCCAGCCCTCCCAGCCAGCTGGGCACACAGGTCAGCACAAGTTAGAACTTTACAAGCTCTTTCTGGTAACGTGCCAGGAAGAAAATGGACCTGGCTCCTGCAAAACTAATGAGTTGCAGTTTGGCTTTTGCTCAGACCACCCGAGTCCTCCAGGGACCTTAATTACACAGGGACCTTAATTACACAGGGAGGGCTTCAGGAGCAGCTACAGAGATTTCAGTTCACAGGGACAGAACTCCTGGTTTTGTATCAACTGGGTGTTTTGCACAAACCCAGGGCAGCTGGGGCTGAGCATCCCCTGCAGTGCTGAAGGGAAAGGTGGAGCAGTGGCTTAGTGAACAGTTCATGGTTACTGAGTGACTTCCCTCAGATGGGGCACATTAAATTATTTGTAGTGTCATTCAAAGTGAGGAAGTAAAATGCCAGTGTCCTTCTCCCAGCCCTGTGTTCAGCCCATGCAATGCAAACCCATGAGCTGCTGCAGAGTTCCAAAGCAGAAGTTTGTTTGCAGCCAAGCTCTTTTCTTGGGCCCTGAAAGTGCATCCCTACCTTTTTCTTATTCTGTATTTCCAGACCTAAAGCCTGCTGCCCTACTTATCTTTGTGTGTTTGCTGCAATAATCCTTCTGTCTCCAGCCTCACAGCACTATCAGGAGGAGCCAGAGGGTCTGAATGCTGAATCTTCAGTGAGTTGCTCTTTCCACTCCTCCCAGCAAAGGCCAGGATGGCTTTGGATAAGTATAACCAGACAAGTTACACTAATTTGATCAGTTCCTAATGGGTATCGTGCCGTGACATCATTAAAAACTGGAAGCTGGATGTGAAATGCAATCAAATTGTAATTCCAGTAATTTAACTCTGACTTTCCAAAAGTTGTTTTGCAAGGCACTCAACGGTGGCCATGTATTTTCAAATGTCACTGAGACAGTCTTTCCTTTTTGGGTTTAGTTTTGCCCTCACCTTTGTGAAGAATGTTTTGGTGGTTTATTAGAGGAGACAGTCAGTGTTTTTGTGGCAGCAGCTCACAAGAAGCCCTGAAAACGCTGACTGCACACGCTTTTCTGCATCCCTGCACATCTCCCCTGACATGGCTGGGTGCAAAGAGAGGGGGGACTCGCTCCAGGGAACAAATGCAAATCCCTGGGGGACAGCTCTGATCAACAATTTGAATATTTCCTCCTTCCCTCCTTGTCTTCCCAAATCACATCTTACTTAAAGTTTGGCAGATCTGGACAAACTAGTGATTTTTTAGCTATTTGGCCAAAACACAACTGTGGATGAGAGAAAACACTGTGGGAAAGCATCTCTGAGCTTGGAAGACCTTGGGGACACTGGCAATGCTATGGGAAAGCTCAGTCACTTGAGATTTCCAGATATAAGTTCAGATACACTTTAGAACACTGACAGGGCAGCAGAGAAGGAGGTGGGACAGACTCAGACTGAACAGACTCAGTCTGGATCAAGGGGAACAACCTAGAAGTTTATTAAAAGCATGAGGAAAGAGAACTGATGTTTGAACTGAGCATTAGAGACAGGCAAATATTTGGGTCAAGTTAAACAAACTTTAGCTAAAGCATCAGGGAAGGTGGGAAAAGAGGCCCAGGTTTGGTGCAGAAAGAATCAAGACTGAAGTTTCACTGAGACAGAGAGGAAAAAAAACAACACTTTTTCCTCAAATGACTCCTTCCTTAAAGCAGCTGCTTTACAGCTGAGAATATCTAGGGCAACCTGGATGAGTATATTAAAAAAATGTTACCCAAGGTCATGAGCATGGAAAGAACCTGAATAAGTGACTACAGACTGAGCATGTGGTGACAGGACACGGGGGGACGGTGTCAAACTGGCAGAGAGGAGGTTTAGGTGGGATATTGGGAAAAAAACCTTCCCTGGGAGGGTGGTGAGGCCCTGGCACAGGTTGCCCAGAGAAGCTGTGGCTGCCCCATCCCTGGAAGTGTCCAAGGCCAGGTTGGACAGGGCTTGGAGCAACCTGGGCTGGTGGGAGGCGTCCCCTGTGCAGCCCTCCCGAGGTTTCCCTGCTCCCAGGGGGAGCTGCCTTCGGGCACCGCTCAGTGCAGGAGTTTATGCCCTGGTGCTTGTTGGGAGACATGAACTGTGAGATGATCTCCTGCTAAAGCTGGATTAAGAGAGGCTTTGGGGTCTGGTGGGACATGTGGAGCACAACTCTGGATTCCCCAGACATGCCAGTCTTAATACTTTTATTTTTCCCTCTACGCTTTTCTAAAAATTCCCGGCTCAAACACCAGTTTTATATCCTGCATTTGGGAGGATTCCAGAGCCATTTCAATTTACTTCTGATATTGGAAGCAGTGCTATTGTAATGAAAAGAGCCAAAATCAAGCTACTGAAGAGTTTCAAACACAGAGTATCACAACAAAGATGGTCCTGTGCAGGGCCAGGAGTTGGACTCGATGATCCTTGTGAGTCCCTTCCAACTCAGCACATTCTGTGATTCTGGAATTCTGTGAAAGTACTTCCAGGAAAGGGCTGTCAATCACAGATGCATAAAATGGGGATTTAACTCTTTTGTAGCAGCTTTATAGCTGATCAGTAAAACAAGAGAAAAATCAGTTTTCCTAAGGAGCTGGCACAGGATATGTAGCTGCTCAAAGGGCTTATTGTAGAAAATATATTTACCAGAGAGAAAATGAAGTCTGGAAGAGAACCAGCTCTGGGCTGAATGGATTTGAAAAGGCTCTTTCACTGCCTGTGTAAGTTTAGTCCATAAATCAAAATTATTAGGGCTTAATTTTTAAAATTTTATTTCTTAACTGGGAGGAGGACCCGCTGCTAAAAAAGAAGCCCCCATCAATTTAACGGGCTGGTTTGCTGAAAGCAAGCAATTAGAGCCTGAGCAAACTGCAGCGTGGGGCACTGCAGGCAGCACCCAGCCAGTCTGCCCGGGAACCCTCTGCCCTCCCACACACACACACAGACACACGGACTGCACTGAAAAGCCACCCAGCTTTACCTTTCTGGAGCTTGGAGGCGTTGTCCTGGATCCAGCTGAAAAGATTGGCAAAGTCACAGTCACACACCCAGGGGTTGCCCTCCAGGCGAATAGTCCGCAGGGAGGGCAGCGCTTCCAGGGCTGCCACGTTGAGGCTCTGTAAGTTATTGTCATTCAGTTCTAACACTTGGAGCTGTTCCAGGTTCTCAAAAGCAGCCTCATCCACGTCCACCAGGTTATTGTTCCCCAGGCTCAGCTTTATCAGTTTCTCTGCTGATTTGAATGTCCCAGCATAAAGCTGCGTTAAATTATTGTAGCTTAAGTCTAAATACACCAGTTTGGTAGAGCTGCTAAAAGTGCCCTCTTCTAAAGAGGTGAGGGAGTTATTCCTGAAGTCCAAATAGACTAGATCTCCATAAAATATAAAGAAATCAGCTGGTATCGCCTGAATGTTGTTATCAGCTATAAGAAGTTTCCGTACATCCAATGGAAAGGGATTAGGAACACTTGGGAGTCCTTGATCCCGGCAGTCTATGGTGTGGTAGTCCATACAGCTACAGGCAGCAGGGCAGAGATGACCCCCGGGTAGGAAAAGCAGGCAGGCAAAGGCAGCAAAAGGCAGGAGGCAGGAAGGGAAGCATGGCAACATCGTCAAGGCTCTGAGCGCGGGGATGAGCACCACTCCTAGGAGAAAGACATTTTGCTCAGCTGAGCAGGAGTGCCTGGTACTTGTGTGTGTGTGTGATTGTATCCAGGAGATCACATATCATCACAGATCCGATAGCAGCAGGCTGGGAGGGGGAGGGAGAGTGGCTGGAGGAGAGAGGGAGGGAGGGAGGCAAATGTGAGGATTTACACTGTCAGAATGTTGTGATGCTGTGCAGGGTGAGGAGAGCGATGATTGGGCACACGGAGGATCTTTCAAAGGACTCCCTTGCTTTTGTGAGCTAAAAAAAGCCCAGAGCCTGTTTGCACATTTGCTGTATATTCCAGCAAACTGGAAAATCACACCTGATCCTGTGACTCTGACAGCAACAGCTTCTGCTCAGAAACCCCTGCAGGTTAAAAACTCTGATGAGATCACTTACTGTGCTTCTTAGCAGGAGCCTGCACCAAGGTGACCAATACCTATGGAAATCCAAACAAAAGTCAGGCAGTATCCTGCATGCCTGCAAAGGACTGTTTTCCCTTTCATTTGTAAAGCAGGGAGCAGAGGAGCAGCAAGGGAGGGGAGCCCAAAGATAAGGAACACTGGCTTTGTGCTGTTTCTGGATGTTCTCAGCTGTTAGAGAATTCACCTAAATATGACTCAGTGTCCTTTAACCAATAAGAATAATGGACTGCAGCAACAAGGAATATGGTCTCCAAAGTGAGGGGCTTTTTCCTTCCTGTTTTAATGACCCAAAAAGCTGCTTTCTACTACAGCACCACTAATGTCTGTTGGGCCACATAAAAGTGCAAATCGTGGATCAAATCTTCAGCTAGTTAAAACTGAACAGATTTTCTTCATTTTCAGGGGGCTGAAATACTTGACAGTCAATCTGCCTGTCTCCCATGGGACAGCAGAGATGATCTGGCAGCAAGGCATCTGGTGTTTTCCTGATGTCCCCCAAACCCACACCCAGAAAGGCAAATCCTCAGCCAGCTGCACACTTAATTTTTAACTCCATCCCTCCCTCCTTATGCTTGGTGTATAAGCAGACAAACAGGACTGGAGTGCTGGGATTACACCTGTGGAAGATTTTTCTGGGGACAGCTGGTATTTGGGTGTGGGCATCCTGAGGAATGGAGCACAAACTCCAACACCTTTGGAAAGCTCATTCTTAGGCCAAAGAGAGGCCAGTAATCACAATTTAAGGTCATATTTCATAACTGAATTCAGAGTATCTTTCATCCAGGACAGGGTATGAAAATTTCCTTTTAAGACAGACTATTCTCCAAGATACCTGTACCTGGTCTCAAATCATGAAAAGCAGTATCAGCCACCCAGAGAGACACTGACCTGCTGGGAGGGAATGAAGAGGGAGCCAGACTGTTCTCAATAGCACCACTGACAGAAAAAGTAGAGATGGACGCAGATTAAAAACCATCTGAACACAAGGAAACATTTCTCTTACTCTGAGGGTGGTCAGGTTGTCCAGAGAGGTTGAATATCCCCACAAAACCCAAGTGGGGACAGCACTGGGCAAAGTTGTTCTGACTCTGCTTGAGCAGGGGAAGGGTGAGCTGATTCCAGAGGTCCCTTCCAACCTCAGCATTTCTCTGCTCTGCTGTCAGGAAAGGAACATGCCAGGAAGGTTTATGCCTCTGAACACCTCTCCCACATTTTGCAACACACTTTGTTTCTAATTCATAGGTCTTCTGGCTAAAGAACCTTGAAGCAGCTTCTACATCCCTCCCATAAAGACATATCCTGCTCCAGGTGTCTTTCATGTCTTGAATTACTTTAAAAAAAACCACCCAGAGAGAAATGGGCATAGCTGCCTCTATAAATCACCAGGGCAAAGCCCAAATAAATTCCTGAGATGATTATTTAAAATATTTACCTTTAAATTACAGAGGAAGTGGAAGTTTGACAGGCTACCTCTGATTGAAAAAAACCCAAACATGCAAAATAAGTCCTGTGCTCAGGATTCAATGAATCAGCATCAACAAGCAACTGCAACTGGTATTTCTCATGCAGAACTGGTGCTTTTAAAATTTTTAAGGTTGTATCTTGCAAACATCTTCCTGTAATCTACTGTTTTTCTGCCCCTTATTCAACTTAGGCTTTAGGTTAGAGATAAAAGTGTTTCTAACATGGTCAAGCAGAGCTGATTTGATGTCTTTAGTAATGTAACTTTATATGGAGAGTTCCAGCTCTCTTTTAAGAGAAGTTACACAGTACTGAGGGGTCCCTGTGGCTCCTCCTCTGCAGACCCCCCCTTTTTGTATCAGATGCACAGAATCAGGCTCTGACATTTCCATTTCCAAGATGCCTCAGTGTTATTTTGCTGCTTCACAGATGGGAGACTACAGACAACAAGGCACGATTTGTGAAAGATCCAACAATATGTTAGTGGCAGGGCTAGGAAGAGGATTCAGCTTCCCTAAGAATTCCACCAGCCCTTGCTAAAACTACCCCTCCTTTCTGTCAGGAACAGCCCTTCCTTTTGCTCAGCTGCTCCCCTGGATTCTTCACGTTACCCCCTGTGAGCAGCAGCCCCTGCACCCTCGTTCTGCACACTCACATTTGCAGATCCTGCACAGAACCTGGGGAGCTTTCCTGTCTGTGAAGGGGTTGGCAGGAGATGAGGGATTACTCCCAGGCTCTGGATATTTTGGGATAGATATCCCCGAGGTCTGTGGAGCCCCAGCCCTGCTCCCACAGCATCCAGGCAAGGAGGGGTTCACTGCCCACATGTGCCAGCTCAGCTCTGCTGCACAAACCCCTCTGCAGAGCCTGCCATGCTCTGACACCCTTCTGTGCTGACTCTGAATTCAGAGGCTTTCCTCCTGACCCATCTTTCTCTGTACAACATTTCCCGTTTCATTTTGTCTGTGCAGCTTTTTAAGCTGATTTCTGTCCCTCAGCTGTTTCCCTCAGGGCACAGAAATTCTCCTGCATCTCTCTGAAGCTTCGCTCGCTCGCCAAACATTTCGTGCAGTTTTTGACTAGCAGGAAGGACGTTCTGCAAAGCTTTCTATCTAATGAGATATTAAAGCTTTGCTTTTTTAAAAACCTCCTTTGCATCAGGCAGTGACAGTAACCTCTGCTGCTAAATCAGGGGTGTGGCCTGAGAGCTGCTGAGTGCACAGCACCCTCTGGTGCCCTCAGACACTGGTCACCCACAACTGCTCTGGTCCCTTCTGATGAACCATTAGCAAGTTTTACACACTCCTACAGTTTATCTGCACTCTCAGGTTCCCTTTTCCCTCTTCCTATTAAAGAAAATAAATTATATTATCCAGATAGTGTTCTTATGTGCTTCAACCAGCACTATGGTAAAATATCAAATTGCTCCAGTGAATAGTCTCAGAAATGAAGGTTTGTTTGTAATCTGTGCTTCTTCAGTGCTGCCAAGCAAAGCCCCACAGCTTTATCACCTGTTACCCAAAAACACTTCCAGCAGTAAATTTTAGTACATACAGGTTTGCAAAAGCACAAGCTTCCCAATTAGAAGTTGATGCCAAACAAAAAATCCCCAAATATCCTTCTCTCCATAGAGCTGGGATCCCACACTGATCAGATTTTGACTGTCAGCCCATTTATCCATAATCCTGGCTTCCAGGTTCTCCTAAAGGGACAGGATGGGTTTGAAAAACACCCTTGGTAACAATTCCATAATCAAAGAACTATAGAGAAGGAAAGCAAAGAAGCAAAACCAATTTCCCTCCATACCTCCCAGTAGCAGGGGTTGAATAAACACAAGAGAAGGCAGGCTTTGAACTAAAAACAATGATCTGGCTTTCAATTCTTTTAATTTTCTGTTCAGGATACTACTAGAAGAAACCTTGAAAATAAAAGCAAGTGTGTCAAACCACACTGGTCCTGAATCTTTAGTGTACTATCTGTACTATATCATGCCAAGCAGTAAGAAAAGAAGAGGAAAAACACTCACTTCTGACAGAGTTTTCATGTTTCCCTTGGAAAATTCCACTGCTCTGTGTAAAAGTGCTCAAGACTTCCCCGAATAATTTGAGTAATGGAAGAAAAAAGAAAGAGCAATCATTGTGCAGACACACGTGAAAGATTGGGGCCTCAGCCAGTAAATCCTTCCTTACCAGAGACTCAGACTGAAAACTGTCCATCCTCATTCACTTTTTTTTTTTTTAGCAGCTAATTGAGCATATTTTTCCATGAAGGAAGTCATTATTCCAGGCTCATGCTTCATTGAGTTGAGGCACATGTCGTGGCCGAGGCTGCAGCACCAGGTGCACAGGAGGATTGTGAAGGGTTTTCCTGCTCATTATCAGACATTACCAACGTGTCCTGGGCACCAATGCTGGAGCCTGAGTGAGGAACAGTGTGTTAATCAATCCATCAGGCACTGAAACCCGGAGCTGAACAGCACCTCTGAACAGAAGTCCTGGTTTTATTCAGGTTTTACCATTTTGGCTTTAGCGGCTTTTTTTCTTTTGAGGAAAATCCTGCCCTGCTCTGACCAGGCAGGTTTTATGAATGCAGCCAAGGGGCACCTCTGGGCAGTTTTCCCTCTGATATTACACCTAAAAAAAGGACTGAAAAACTAAAAGGGGAAAATGGTCTATTCCTGTCTTAAAATTTATGAGCTGGTAGAAGCTGTGAGCTGAAGCTTGTCTTACACCTGCCCAGGCCTTCTCTGCTGCTGCTCTGCCACTGGGAGGGAAAATGCATCAAAATTAATCAACGTGGCAGAAGCCATGATTGAATCTGAAAACTTCAGACACTGCAGTTCAGCAGCCAAATGAGACCAGCCTAAACCCATCAAAAGACTTCCATCATCTCCCTTATGCAGACATGTGGTCACTACCTTATTGCAAACCATTTTCAGTCACTAAAAGCAGCCAAGAGAGACAAACAGTGTGAATTTTACTTCCCTTTTCCCTCAGGAAGGAGTTTGTGTTCAGTGCTACAGTGTAGTCTGCTTGCCCTCTGTATAGTTTGTGGACTGGTCCAGAATCACCACAGCCTTAAAGCAAATTAAAGGCAATTACATTAAAAGCCCTCTGGAGATATGCTCACATATATCCACTGCTACTCTAATGAAGTCACAATTAAAGCTGGTCTCAGGGTCCTCCTCAAACACTATTTATTTTCTCAGATGGACCAGA